CGGGGGAGCGGAGGGGACCGCGGCGAGAGGGTCCCGCCGGGGGCTGGTTTAGCTGCAGAATGGCCTTCGGGGACCCAAAGCGACCCTTGCAGCCCCCTTGCACCCAGGGCCGGGAAACAAGTGGGTGGGACGCCCAGAAAATTCCCTGCCCGCACTGTTGCTCTTCAGCAGGGTGGGTCAAGCCCCAGGCGGCAGATCAGCGGAGCTGCGGGGGCTGCGGAGAAACTCCAAATTTCCACCCTCCAGCAGTCAGCAGAGCCAGAAGAAGAGAAAGAAGCTTTTACAAAGCACTTTGCAGAGGAGGCGAGTCCATCGTCGCTCTGTTCTGCGAGTGGGGAAACTGAGGCAGGGGATGGAGAAACCATAGGCCAGCGGTCACCTAGCAGAGAGATGCAACGAGGTCTCAGGGTGCCTGGTCAGCTGGGCCAAGGGCAGTGTTAGCACCAAGTTACTGCCTTTATCCCAGGTACTTTCAGCCCTGGGGCTGTGATGGATAAACGTTTGTTGTGCTCTCTGTACAAAACAAAAACAGAAGTGGAAAAGTGGGGTGGAGGAAAGGGAAAAGCACCAAGGCATGGGAATCTGCACGTGGCTCTTCTGGTGGTCACCAAAGGGTTGGCCAGAAGCCAGATTTTATTTTTTGAAAGTTTTCCTGGGGAGAAAAAGACAAATAAAACACTGAATAAGGCCAAACTAAAGCTGTAGAAATCCAAATATTTTAAGCTTACTCTCATTTAACCTCTATAAAAATATGTGAAATGGAAAAAGAAATCTGCTTTCTTATGACCCAACAAGTCAAGAGTCAGTGTACCTTAAAATGGCCCTATATGATCCAGCAGGCCGGAGATGAAGCTGGGCGGTGGCCCCTGGGCAGGAGATGCCCATTTCCACAGTGAGGGCAGGAACATCCAGGTCCCCTTAGCAGGTCCGGAGCGGCTCCTCTACTGCCAAAGGCCAGTAAATGAGCGGATGTGTAGCTGAAAGAAAAGTTGCGCTGGTGATGGGTGTGTAACAGCTGCTGCTTAGAGAGGCTCTTTGGTTTGTGTTATGAGAAATGTCAAATTACACAATTAAATCAGCCCCTGTTGGTTTTAAGCCTTATGGTTCTGTAATCCTAAGGGTGCACTGATGGATTTACTGCCATTTCCCCGGTACTCATTACAAGAGTGTTTTGCTCCAAGACACTAACGGGAGCGAAGGGGCTGTAAATTGCACCCATGCATCAGCCCCGGCAGAAGAGGAGCTGATGCTGTGGAAGGTCCAGCCCAGCTGAAGCAGAGGCTGCCCACTGGCTGCGTGGCCTCAGGGGGCTTTGAAATGAAGATGTGAGAAGCTCTGGGGCTTCAGGGAGCCTCCAGCAATCCCAGGGTCGGGATAGGGCATTGCTTCTCCTCCCTGCGCAGGCTGAAGTTTGCTTTGTCCTGGCAGCACGCTGCACCCACAGCTGGAACACCCCTGGCTGTGTCCATGCCTGCACTTGTCCTGCCAGAAATAAGGTTTCATGGAGGAGAGGTGTGCTTCCAGTTCACCTTGCCACAGGCAGAAAGGAGGAACAGCCACAACACTTGCTGATCTTGAGCTGTTGCAGAGGTGGCACCAGCCGTGACCCCAGCTCCCACGTCCAGCTGCAAGAGCAGCTCCTGTACCCAGGACCTCAGTTCTGCTCCCCCTTCACCCTGACACAGCCACACCGAAATCCATTTCCCAGCACCCGTGTAGTGGCTGGGGGCCGCCGCCTTCCGTGAGTGGTGGCCTGGCACAGCCCCCTGCCCCAGTGCCACAGCAAAGGACAGAGCTGGAGAAACCTCCACCTGAAGCTGGCTCTGTTGCTCTGCTCAGCTCCCATTTTAGCTTGGCAGCCCATGCCCGGGAGTTACGTATTTTATTCCCGGAGTGCCAAGCTGCTCCATCCCCAGGCTGCATTCAGGGATTGGCATGCAAATAAACCCACTGCTGCCTCAGACTGCGATAATTAAAAGTGAAGTTGTAAAACAAGCAGCATCAATTTTTGGTGCACATCCCCAGCAACACATGGTGATTGGAGTGAGTTAGGAGACATTTCCAGCTACGCAGCAAACTCTAAATAGCCTGGAGAGAATACATGGGAATTTAGCTTGTGCAGCAATTTCAGATGTCAAAACAAGTTTCCTTGTTAATATGAAACTATTTGGACTTTGCATTTTTAATTAAAGCTTTTAATTATCCAACTGTATTTTATTAGCTTTTATGAAGACAGCTGCTTTAAACGCTGTAAGCCAAATCTGTGCTCTGAAGCACTACTTGTCCGAGAGAGGGTTTCGGTTGTGAACAGCCTTCATTGTGAGTAAATGGGGTTGTTTAATTTAAACTAGAATTTACTGTCCCGGCTTGATTGAAACGCTTTTATGGCAGAGACAACAAATAACCTCGGTGGGAGTGTTTGTGCGCCCAAGGCTGGGTGGGGATGCGGTGCTGGCAGCCCAGGGGCCCCCCCGCCAGCGCCTTCCAGGGTGAGCATCAACTGCTTCTCCACCTCACCTCCTCGCTCATGCTGTTTTGTCTTTGAGCACTGGACCAAGGCTGGGAGCTCCTGGGTGGAAGCCTCTTGCACCCCTGTGATGGGTTTGAGGTGCCGAGGTCCAGAGCTGGTGCTGCTGGTGGGTCCCTGCAGAGCAGTGGAGTTGGCGTCTCCAGTGCCGGGGCTCGGGGGAACTCGCTGAGCTCTGGTTTGCAGGAGGTCAGGCTTCATAGATGGTCTTCTCCCGTGCCTGCTCTTCAGGACTGTGATCACAGACTGTCTTTATCAAGTAATAGCTAATGCTCATGGTCCTGTTCATAACATGGATTACGTATTCATTGGGATCACATTATTTACAACTGCGATGTGACCTCTCTTGGTTTACAGCTTGCCAATAACTTAACAGCTTGTGGAAGCCTCTATGTCCTGCCTGCGCAGAAGAGGCAAAGAAGAACAGAATCGCTGAATACAACTGCAAGGGAAGAGCTGACAGCCAGGATGGGGTTTCTGGCCGGAGAGCAGCCCTGTGCTGAGCTCAGCGCCATGTTCACGGAGAGCGCTCCGGTTCGAGACCTTACTCTTCATCACAGTCAAAAATCAGCAAAACGTACTAAATCTTCTGTAATTTGCTGAGAAGAAAAGCAAAGTGGGCAGCTTTCAAGCACTGATGCAGGTCAACCCGTAGCTAGCGAGACCTAGCGGGATCACAGGCTGCCCAGGAGACAGCTGGCACGAAGCTGACAGGGCAGCTCAAGACCCCGCGTGTGCGTTCCGGCGTTAGAGCGCAGATCAGAAGCCTCGGGGCTGGGCAGGACTGCTCTCTCCAGACCTGCGTGTGGCTGCTGGCAATCAACTTTCTTCTGTCCTCGTT